GGTAGCCAATGTCCAAGTTGCCCATCCCTGTCTACTCTGTGTGTGGAGGGGGGTGGGAATGATCCTTGCTGTAATGATTTGTTCCCTCTTTTGAGCTACTGCACCCATAGTTGTAGGTCAAGTTCATCAAATTGTATCAGATTACTCTTTTTTCCTCTTCTTCTAGTTGAGCTCTGATCAGTCATTGAAGCCAGGTCAAGTGGGTATTAGCTGCCATTGTGGGCATTCTCTTCCATATGCCCTCTCTTCTTATCAGCTGGACGCTTCACTCTCCACTCTAGTCCTCTGTGGCTATGTCACTGACTCTGGGTCTTGCCACACTGCTGGCCGACCAGGTCTCCACCCGAGTACACAGGAGTCTATTGAACATTGTAGGGCATAGCTCGTAGCTTCATTGCTGTTTTCCCTCGCTTCCCCTTCTTGGTGACGAACATGGTCACCAGTCAGAGCGTGTATTCCCATTGAGTCTTAGTCTTGGAAGGGGCTTCTTAATAGTTTTTATTTGTAATCTTTGATAGTAGCCTATAAGCACTCTGATGATGTCTGGTTACCTTGATTCTTACAGCCTATCATGTTCAGAGGTGAAGTCCGTCTGAATGTGGAAGAGAAGAAGACTCGAGCTGCCAGGGAAGGAGACCGTCGAGATAACCGCCTGCGGGGACCTGGAGGCCCTCGAGGTGGGCTAGGTGGTGGAATGAGAGGCCCTCCTCGAGGAGGCATGGTGCAGAAACCAGGATTTGGAGTGGGAAGAGGCGTTGCTCCAAGGCAGTGAACCCTCTTTACTGGTCATCACACAGCGGTAGAAACCCTAGTTCCTGCAGAAGAGGGAATTTCTTCAACCACCTCTGGTATCTTGGAGTATGAGCCTAATCTGTTATAAACTGCTTAACATTTGTACACTCTTATTCCTTTTTGTGTTAATGGTGTGTGCGCCCACCCTCCTTTCTCCTCCTGATCTTTTAGTCCTTCACTTCCAATTTTGTGGAATGATATTTTAGGAAAAACGGATTTTTAAA